TTTTTTTTATCGTGGTCTTTGCAAGACTTACTCGAGAGACATAAACAAGAAATGAAACACCGTAGAAAATTTCCAAGAGCTATTTGACGGAATGCATTGCTGCGAAGAAGATGAAAAAATTTTCACGAACACAGAGAAGTAATTAAATATTTTTTTCAGCTCTGACGTTGCGAATTTTCCGAACAGCCTAATTGAGAACAACAAACATCGAAAGATATATCGTGATTTTCTTTTTTTTTTTTTTAGTACTGGAGGTGTTATTTCCAATTGAAAGGGAATCGCACGATGCGTCTTATTTAATTAACCTATCCTCTTATTTATTTATATGTCGTTCGTCTTTTGAAGCGTAAATCGCTATATTGCGCTATATTGCGCGAAACGAGCGTTATCGATGGATTGCAGATGCTTGCGCAGATTCGTACTTCCGTCAGAACGGATTAAAGAAACAAAGTATAGATATTCGTTTCGTCTGTCAAGTACGATCGAAGATAAAAGCATCCGAAATCGTGTGCTTCGTACTTTTCGGATATCTGATATTACACCGTTTCGTATTACGCGCGTATTATGCAAAATTCTTGCACTTTAATACTTGCATGAACATCCGCAATCTAGCTGTCAGCGACAATCGAATTGAACGAGAATCCTATGATACACACTGTGTATATGTACGATACTTTGATCATTGTGATACTTGGAAATAAGTAATTACCGACGTGCCGTTATGTATTACGTTTCTTTGTCTCTTTCTTACCTTAATCTTTTTCTTTTCTCCACTCCGAGCGTCCTTTGATTTTCTTTTATTTCGCGTTATTTGACGAAGGCTATGGAGGAAAAACACGATAAGTCATGTTTTCTGATTTTTTTCTTTTTACGCCAGTTCCAAGACGTACTACATCGTTAATTAATTAATTCTACGTTACCAGAATCATCTTTTTTACTCGATTTGAAAAGCATCGTTCTCGAAGCGATTAAAATTATTTCTCGCCAAGACAGATTTTCAACAGATTTTCTCCTATTTTTAGTTGTCATTGAAATATTCGTTTCCAAACGACATTTAAGATTTAAAGAGA